CAAGTTCTTCCTTGACCAGAGTAAAAAAGATGCTGAAAAGTATGCCAAATTTTTTGAAGAGTATGGCTTGTTCATGAGGGAGGGCATTGTGACCACTGCAGAACAAAACATCAAGGTAGGTTGTTTTCCGGTCCTCTTAGTCAATGCCTTCCCTATTACAGAGGAAGCTGGTCAAGGCTATGTACTGAATGTGGTATTAAAGCAGATCCCTCTGCTGCCAAGGTTCAGCATTTGGACATTAGGCTCCTGGGTCTCCTGATAGGTAGTACATGTCCCTAACTGTGTTGGTCAGACTCAAGTGACTGACAGAATTCCAGACTCATCTGCTCTTGGTTACTGAGGTTTCAGTGTGTGTGGGGGAGTGGGGGGGGGGGGTGACTGGAGCCCAGAGCCCAAGCAAAGAATCCCTGTTTTCTGACTATCTCTCTTTTCTCTTATTTTTACCTGAGCCCCCAGTTTATGGGATTGTGCCTCCCACACTCAGAATGAGTGCTTCCCCTCAGTTAATTGTGGCTCCTTCAGGTTGATTTTCTTAGGTCTTTTCTTAATGAGGGGAAACTGACAGGAATGGAGAGCTATGGAGAAACCATGTCTTGAAAAAAACATCGATGTCCGATGTCACTGCCCTAAAGCCCATTCGTAGCTCATTGGTATGCAGGTGACAAGGCTGGCTCTGTGGATCTTCTCTGGGCCTTCTCCCGCCAGGTTGTCAACAGGTTTGAGCAATACTGGTCTCCTTAAGATCTCCATTTGTTATTTGTCCAACACTGTGAGAAAGAGCCAAGGGGATCAGCTTGCAGAAGGAAAGATTTATTTTCACTCAGTGTCCCTTTGCCTTTGATATTTGGGGGCTTTCATGAAGCATTAGGAGCATGTGGTGACAAGAAGGCTCCTGACTCTGAGGAGACTGGGGAATGTGGAATGTTTGTTTGTTTGTTTGTTTGTTTCCAGTTGCCACTGTGGACAGAGAGAAGCTTCTAGGCCCCAGTGTAGTGTCTCCCATGAATGGGGCTGGCTATCCTGCAATAGTTTGTCCAGCTCTCCTGGCCACCTAGGTTAAAAAGTTTTCCCACAGTCTTATATGTGTCTTCAGTGGGGTTCATGGGCTTGTCTGAAACTCTGAGGGACAGGCCAGGGAGCCAGAAAACTGCAAGCTTTACCACAAATCAGAGGTGAAGATGATGCTCAGATCTTGGCCCTGGGGTAAGCAGTGATCTACCCATGTCTGCAGGAGGACATCGCGAAGCTGCTACGGTATGAATCCTCAACCCTGCCTGCTGGGCAACTGACCAGTCTATCAGACTATGCCAGCCGAATGCAGGCTGGCACCCGCAACATCTATTACTTATGTGCCCCTAACCGTCATCTAGCTGAGCATTCACCATACTACGAGGCCATGAAGCAGAAACACACTGAGGTAGGTGGGCTCCAGCCTGCTGCTGGGCCGAGGATGGTATCTTAGAGGGTCTGAGCTTTGAGGGAAGGGTTTGAACTCCCAGCTCTTCATCAGAGAAAATGATTGAATGTGTTTCAGGGCCTATAGGCTGTGTGGTGTAAGGCAGTGCCCTTGTCTGTGATGTGGCTGTTGTTAGGTAGATGAATAATGTATGTGTCTATCACCAAGAAGCTTCTGGTGAGCTGTTGCTCAGGCCGCAGAGCCCCAGTGTCTGTAGCATCCCCTGTGTGCGCTGTGGGCTAATAGGTCTGGATGCCCGCAGGTACTCTTCTGTTACGAGCAATTCGATGAGCTTACTTTGCTGCACCTACGGGAGTTTGACAAGAAGAAGCTGATCTCTGTGGAGACAGACATCGTTGTTGACCACTACAAGGAGGAAAAGTTTGAGGATACGTCTCCAGGTTGAGTCCCATCTCTCTGTGGGGCATGGTCCCATGGGAATGCTGTGCAGGAGACTGTCACTTATCCCATCTTGACCTGCCCACGAACACAGAGCATTCTCTTTCTCACTTGGTTTTTTAGTGAGGTTGCTTGGGAAAGTCCTAACAACCAGTGGGGGCATGTAGGGCTCAGGCATTGCTGATGCCCCTCCTGTGAAGTTCTTGCAATTGACCAGACTTTCGGGGAGAGGTGGAATTGCTCCCACCCCACCCCCTCTTTTTTTGTAGCCCTGACTGGCCATGAACTCCTAACCCTCCCACCTCACTGCCCTGAGGATTACAGCCCGTCCCAGCATGGTTGGGTTCAGATTTTTCTTTTTAAAGCCCTAAAAAAAATTTACAGAGGACAGGAACGAGCACAGGTGTTTTCAAAGTTTTCTGTGTCAATGAAAGGCATTTCCAGGAGCCTCTGTCCCTAGTAAGGTAGTATAGCTAGAGATAGCTCAGGAATGTATTAGTGGGCCTCACAAAGTGAGACAGTGGTTGGTGGCCCCTGGGCTCACTCACTTCTTTGGTGCAGCTGGTGAATGCCTGTCTGAGAAGGAGACAGAAGAGCTAATGGCTTGGATGAGGAATGCATTGGGGTCTCGTGTCACCAGCGTGAAGGTAAAGCCTTCTGTGGGCCTTGGTGTCTTCTTAGAGCCTGACTGTACCTTGGGATACTGGCCTGGTGGGGTCCACAGAAAGGCACTGAAGCCCGGGTGGGAGCTTCACCAGGCACTACCACCTCACCATCAAAGCTTTGTCTTGCTTGGTACTGTCCTCTCTTAAGCCTGCCAGTCTGTGCTGTCCCTAGACCCCAGTGGGTTTAGGCCTCTGGGCAGGGGCTCCCAAAAGCCGCCTCTGCCTCCTCTTGACCTACCTGCTGAGGGCCTCACTGAAACACAAGATTCATGTTTGTGCCTCCTGTCACGAAGAGGTCTCACTTGACAGCTGAGGCTTTGCCTCTCCATGCAGGAGGGGTCTCCTAGCCACAGGGGAGAAAGATCGGAGCCAGTCCAAGTACATACCCCTAGACATCTAACTGTGGTCTAAGTCATCACAGCCTGATGACTGAGTTACTGAAGCAATTGGTGTAGAAGCAGGTGCCACCATAGGGCCAGTCTGCCTCCTACCCAATGGCCTGGTTAACTACAGACCCTATCAACCTTGGGCCCCTCACTACTAAGTTCTTCCTCATCCTGGGCCTTGCTTGCAGGTGACTTTCCGCCTGGACACCCACCCTGCCATGGTGACGGTGCTGGAGATGGGAGCTGCTCGGCACTTCCTGCGAATGCAGCAGCTGGCCAAGACCCAGGAGGAGCGTGCTCAACTGCTACAGCCCACTCTGGAGATCAACCCCAGGTTTGTCCAGGGCTCCTCCAGATTGTGTAAACACAGGGTCTTCTGTCTGGAGAGCATTTAGAAAGCATGGCTGTTACACTTGTGTACATGTAAGGGTGGCTCTAAGAGAAGGGCCTTGCAAGTAAGCAGAAGTTAAAAAGTGCTCACTGGAAGCTTAAACAGAATATTGCTGTTTCCCATTTAATATACTAGAGTTCTGTTTCTTTGAGCTAAACCACAAACCTGACATTTTCTTACTTTGCCTGTTGTTTTGTTTTGTTTTTTTGCTATCTCTGTGCCCTTAAAGCCACTTTCGGTAGTTGCCATTTTTTTCCCCCTGAGACAGAGTTTCTCTGTGTAACAGTCCTGGCTATACTAGAACTCACTCTGTAGACCAGGCTGGCCTCAAACTCACAGAGATCCATCTGCCTCCCAAGCGCTGGGATTAAAGGTGTGCTCTACCTGGCAGCAGTTGCCATTTTTTAACTTTATGGATGGGTCTTGGTACACGTGGCAGAGAGTGTTCTAAACAGTAACATTCACTGTGTGAAGCCACCTCAGTACAGCATATGTGTTTGACAGACATTTTGTGTGTCTTCCATTTTGGAGCTGTTGGAAACAGGGTTGCTATGAACACATGCTTCTCTAGGTTGTGCGGTCCTTGGTGGTCCAGGCAGTGTGAGCCGCTTTTGCCTGTCCCCACAGAGTTCCCAGTCCTTGACAGGGGGACACCTTGCATTTATTGTCTGTCTTCTCAGTCTTCTCTCCTAGTGGGTTCTCTTCTTTAGTGTTCATTTGTAGTTAGTTTATTTGAGATGGAAGTCTCACCATATATATAGTCTTGTCTGTCCTGGAGCTTGCTGTGTAGGCCAGGCTGGCCTCTAGCTCACAGAGCTCCACCTGCCTCTGCCTCTCAAGTGATGGCATTAAGGTGTGTACCACTATGCCTGGCTTTACTTTCAAAAATCTGTTGTCTTAAGGTATCTTTTGTTGACAGTAAGATCTTTATTTTTATTATAATCAAATTTATAAATCTTAGTACTTTAGGGTTTTAATTCTTTCTAAAAAGCTCTATAGTTTAGGCTTTGGGGTCAGTTGGGTTTTTTGTTTTTGTTTTTCAAGACAAGGTTTCACTGTGTAGTTCTGGCTGTCCTGGAACTAGCTCTGTAAACCAGGCTGGTCTCCATCTACCTGCCTCTGCCTCCTGCTTAGTGATGCTGACACTTTTACAGTGGTTGTTGTCTGGATAACTTCTAGAATCTGGGTATTTTTTCCTGCTAGACAGTCTGGACACATTGTAGTTTTTAGTGTTCTAATAATCATAACAGCAGAAGCCCTGGGTTAGTGATGCTCAACTTGAGTTGGTTTCTATGATGCAGGCACACATTAATAAAGAAGCTCAGTCAGCTAAGAGACCGGGAGCCGGAGCTGGCCCAGCTGCTGGTGGATCAGGTGAGGAGGACAGACTGCATTCCTTTGTCTGCCTTGGGGGTAGGAAGCCGCTGTCTTCCTAGGGGTCACATGTAGGTCAGGCGGGACTTGAACCCCTGTTCTGATTTTACTGTCCCATCCCTACATTTCAGATCTATGAGAACGCCATGATAGCAGCAGGACTCGTCGATGACCCCCGGCCCATGGTTGGCCGCCTGAACGACCTTCTGGTCAAGGCCCTAGAGAGACATTGACAGCCCAGAGACTGGTCCTAGTATGCAACCCAGGTTTTCTCAGGTGACAGATGGAGCTGCCTGGGGAAGAAGGACTTGATATACAGATCATACCATCAACTGCTTGAGATCAGCTTTATTTGCCTCAATTAAAGCGGATTTCTTAGTCGTATGGTAGACACTCCGTCTGCTCTGGGACGATGGAGTCCTGCAACACCACACATGTCACCACAAGCATATGGCTGTGCTGCTTGATGACATCAGGTTTTCTTGAGTGTCACCTCCACTGGGTAATGGTCACTGATGGCTTCAGCCTGCAGAGGTCAGAAGGGCATGAGGCCTGAGCAAGCTGCTCCACACTCACAGAAAGCGTGAGCAGATAGGAAAGAAAGCTTTGTTGTTCCTGACCCACATCTTGTGTGGGAAACAGTAGCAATGTTGGCAATCACTGCAGCCAGCTCTTGCTTGGCCTCTGGTTAGCTTAACCCACATAAAGGAAGGACACATACCAGCTGCTGGGTAAGTCTGTATGCTGCTTGGAAGTCAAAAGGACCAGCTGAGTTGGAAACAACAGCTCCCTGGAGCAGAGCTCCGGCAACCACAATCCTGCAGGACATCAGAGGACAAGGTTCCTTCACCCTCTTGTCTCACATAGTCTTAGGTAATGGTTTCCTGGCCCTGGGATCTAAACTTGATCCACACAAGAGCATTAAGAGAGGGCCTTGCACTGGCAGGAGCTAGCATGTGAGGGATACCCAGATGGGACTCCATCACCAGCAGCCTTTTTGACAAGAAAACTAGGACCCTGTGAGCCAAAGTTTCTGCTCATTTGAGTAGGAGACAGGAAGTGAAGGGTTGGTTGGCCAAGCACCTCCTGGCTGCTTACCTGTCATAGGCACAGTGTGTGGATGTGGCAGTAGTGTCCGCACTGTCAGGGATCAGCCACTGGAAGGCAGGGCTTGTCCGGAGGCGGATGGAAGACCACTGGGAGGGACTAACATAGCTGCAGCCAGCATTGAAATCTCCCATCATCATGACGTCCTGCCAGGAAACATGCCTGTTGGTCCAGTGACAAACAGGACCAATAGAACCCACTGTCTCTAGGATGGTCTCACCTCCAGGTCCCACTTTTGTCTGACATCCAGGTAAACATCATAGAGGGCATCAATCTCAGTCACAGCATCTGCTGGGGCTGCGTGCAGGGGCACGATTGCAAACTCTCTGACCTCTGAGGAGATAGCAGACATGCTGAGGACATGGTATCCAGAGACCAGCCTGGATTGTAGCTGGCTTGAGGATAACTGGGGCCCTCCATGCAGGGTCTGGCTCAGCTGTGGAGCATTGCTAGAGTGTATGACAGTTTCTCAGAGGACAGGCATTGTCCTCGTAATTGAATGTAAACCGAGCACTGGGAGCTGAGGGTACTCCTGAAGGGGTGGGGGCAGCCCTGCCACAGGCTTCTAGAGGTCTGGATGTGAGCTGCAGATTGTGTCTCTGACTTGACCTGGGCAGGGCTAAAAGTGAAGCACAACGACACTCACCAGTGAATGGGGAAAAGAACTTGACGATGGCAGGCTCTCGACTGAAGGTGTCATTCCCACAGGGCACACAGCCATCATCATAGTAATAGCTGTCCTGAACAGACACCTGGTCAGGCCTAAGGAAAGACCAGGCAGAAGGTGACTTTAGGGCTGAGAGCCGCTCTCTTTAGCCTTCTAGAAACCTACTGTCCTGGAAACAGGAGAGGCTAGGTGTATACTTACTCTCCATGACACAACAAGACTAACCCAAGTCCTTGTTACAAGCTGTGAGAGGCATCAGTGTAGATGCCCACCTGGCCTTTACCTCTGTTCTTGCCCTGTAATATACATTGCTACCCCTACTCTTTAAGGGCCTCCCAAGTAGAAGAAGGGTACCCTGGGCTTCCAGACCACCCTCAGCCTCTGCAGTGCAAATTTTGGGTGCTATCTATACCCTGTGCTTGTATTCTCGGGTTTTGACGGTGTAGGACTTTACCTGTACAAGAAAAGGTACTGTTCCTTGTAGCTGTTGCGGCCCAGCGGCTCACTGACCACATAGCGATAGGTATCAGGTTTGTCCCTGGATAAAGGAAACCAAAGGTCCTTTGAGACCATAAAGGGAACCTCCTGGCAGCTGGTAGCAAGGTTCCATCCGTGGAGCACAAAGGGGGTAAGGGGATGCGGCTGTTCCCCTGTAAGTGGTAGTAATATACATACTCCAGGACCCCAGCACTGTCACCCACCGATTGAGCTCATCCAGTAGCTTCCCAACAGCCACCAGGTGGGTGTCTCTGACCTCTTGGACAACAGCGATGTCATAGCGGCTCAGGATCTGGGGGTAGGGTCACAACAGCTTAGCAAGACAGGCTGGGAGGACAGTCCTGCCACCAGCAGCCCAGGGCATCAGACGGCCACAGCTGCAGCTACTGCTGTTACTCATGGCACAGTTATCTGTAGCTTACACTCTGGTCACATATCTGCCAGCCATGGGCAGGGTGACAGTGACCTGGGCTGGCAACCCTGACATCCACCCAGGTACTGGTCAGACCTGAATTTCACTGACTTCTGTGGCCCTTGGGGAAGCTTCCACCTCTCCCTGGGGTCCCTCTGCTCTCAGGCATGGGCTACCCGGAACTTACTTTCACAATGTAGCTAGAGATGGTGGCGTTGGACATCTTAGTCTCCCCGAAAGTCCGGATGTTGAAGGCTGCGATTCTCAGAGCCACAGCCAGCTGCAGCAGGCTGACGAGGGTGAGCACCACCCCCATTACCCCTGTGCATCGCATCCTGTGAGATTGTGGGTGGTCAGGGGGAAGAAGCAGTGGCCCTATCTTAGCCTCCAGAGCCATCCTGTTCTCATGCTGTGTAAATACCAGCTGGGAGACATCAGTCCTTCCCTGCACCTCACACCACAGAAAAACCGTAGGTCTCCTCTCTCACTCACCTGAAAGCCAGTCCTGGGTGTAATCACTGGAGACAGCACAAGGCAGCGCAGATCTGCTCTTCTAGTGGGTTCAGTCCCCGAGTCCGCACTGGGACTGGCTGATGAACAAGGGATTTCACTCCACAGATGACCAATCCTGATACAGAGATGCCCGCAGAGATGATGAGAATTCTGCCAAAGACCTGGGATATTCTGACACTTAATTTCTCCTTTTATTTTTAAAGAAAAATTCTTTTTACAAAATGTATGAAGGGGAAAAAAAAAAAGTGTGCATTTGCAGAGCTGCTAGCACTCTAGGTCGCTGCTCGGGCAATGCCAGCCTGCCCTGCCCTGCCCTGCCAGTTTTAAAGGTTCAGGCAGTTATGACCTCCCCAGGGCACATGTGTACCCTTCACCTGAGAGCACAGAACAATGGGGTTGCCTATGTGGCTATCCCACTGGGGCCCTGGGGCAGGCCAACAGCACATGCTGACTTTAACAGACATAGAGCCTCCTTGCAGCTGTAAAAGCAGTGTCTGATAATGTTTGTGCATGGTTATAAAATGCCTAATAGTGTCCTTTGCCCTGTCTTCACCACCAGGGATGGGCAGTAGGTGTGCTGGCTCATCTACTTGTGTCTGGTCTGGGGGACCTTAAAGTCACCTTGTAGCTAGAGGACAACTTCCAGACATTGTGCATGGATTTCCAAGGCAGGTTGTGTCTTAGGACCAACCCCTCACCTCCCAAGCTGGTAAAATTGCTAGAGGCTCTGGGTGGGAATTCTTCCTGGGGTATAAGCTCAGGAGAACCCCAAATGCCTACATCATAAGACAGCATAATTCAGGGCTAGATCTTGCCATCATTTTATTTTCAATTCTTGATAATTTCTTTGTGTTTCTCCCCTGAAACTGCTGAAACAAGATACCACAATCCATGAAATCTGTAGCCAGAGTTCCAAAACCTAGGTGCCGTGTGAACCCGCTCTAGGGGGATTCTTGTCGGTCCAGCTTCCACCTTCATGATCATGTTGGCTTCTTTGGGGTCACTTATCCCTCTATGCCATCAATGGAGCTACATGTAAGTACTCTCAGATAAGGTCAGGATAATGTCCCATCTCACCACTCTTGATCACATCTGTGGTCTTCCCCTCCCCCCCTTAAACTATGAATCTACATGCACATATGGAAGCCAGAGGTTGATATGGGACGTCTTCCTCCATTGTTCTCTATATTATTTTTTGAGACAGGGTTTCTTCACTGAATCTAGAGCTCACCAAATTGGCTAGAGTGACTGACCAGCAAGCCGCCAGAATCCCCCATCTGTCTCCTAGTGCTGGGATTGCTAGCACATGCTGCCATACTAATCTTACATGAGTGCCTGTGGGTGGGCAATCAGTTCACCCACTGAACCTTCCCAGCTCCCAAAGTCTTCTTTTGCAAAGTAATAGGGTATGGACATCTGGGATGCCATCATTATCCATCAGAAGCTCTATGTTGAAGGGGCCAGCTCTCCAGGGACACTTCAATTTTACAGGGATAGAACCATCCTTAGGAAGGAAGAGCTTGTATACCCAGGGAGATGTGGAGGTAGGGTATAGGAGTGGGCAGCTACAGGAGGTTGGAGAGCCTAGAGGGAGTGGGGTAACCTAGAAGGTAGGAGTTGAAAAGGCTAAGGTCAGCAAAGTATGGCAGATCTGCCAGCTGGCCAGGGTGCCTGGCATGTAGGACTAGAAGGGATTAATAAGAGTGCAAAGGTAAAGACACCTCCAGGAGGCCAATGTCCCAGTGGCACTGATGCACATCTGCCTGTGTCTCACGTGGACAGCCTCAGACATGGGATCACTGCCCACCTCTGCAACTGCCAGGAACCCCATCGCAGTCTTGTTGAAACAGGTCTTGGATGGCTTGGGAAGTGTATGTAGCCCAAGACGATCTTCATCTTTTGAGCCTCCTGCCTCCAACTTGCACATTCTGGGATCTGTGCTGAGATTACAGACAGTTATGAAGAGCTGGGGAGCAAACTATGACCCAGCCCCATTCTTCAAAACAATGCGTGCCCATGCTTCAGTTCTCAACCTGAGGCTGAACAGACTCTAGTGTGCTAACACCCAGTTCCCACCCAGCCAGCAAGGCCACTGTGGCACCTAGTAACTCAACACAACTCATTTTTCTACCTTGTGCACATATTTGATCAACTAATGACAGGAATGGGAACGGACCTTGGGGGTAGCCAATGTGCACAGAGAGGTGGCTTGGATTAGTAAGATCTGGCATGTGTGGCTTTCCGTATAGAGCCCCACCCCTCTGGTTCTCAGCATGTGGTAGGGTTAGAGTACTGGCTAGCCTGTTACCCACTCCCTGCTCCTGAGAGCTCTCAGGTACCCTGCCATCCTTCCAGCAGTAGAAAGGTTAGGACTTAGGCAGCAGCTGAACCCTGGGCCCCAATTGCATGTAGTGGCCCCATAACAGGGCTCCTTGGGCAGCTCAGATTGGGTCCACTTGAGCTTGAGGCGGGGTCAATCACTTAGGATAAGGGCTTCTCTGCCAGCCCTGTGGTTTGAGGGTTGGTGGATATAACACTAGTTAAATGTGAGTTTACCCCTCTTAAAAGGAAACAGGCCTCTGGGATGTTACATAGACTTGCTTATTTCTCTTCTGTGTTCTCCTGTGTCAGCTACAGCTGTGTAGTCAGTGGCCTCAAAGCTCAGCATGCACAACAGTTATCTTCTCTCTTGTATATAGGTCTGTAGGCTAGGTGGGATGCCTTTGTCCCTGGGGCTTGACTAGAAGTACAAAAAGGAGGGAGGTGGGAACTCCACCAGATAAACAGGGCGTGCGGTGCTCTTACATCTGTATGCTGTCTGATTAGCAGGAAGGCATGGGGTACATTCCTCCGTGCCAGAGCCCACTTTGGAGATGTAGGGATAGGCACCATGGAAAGTGGAAGCAGCTTAGGCTTGTGGAAATTCAGTCCCACCAACAAAGAAGTCTGTTGACCGCCAGGGACTGTGAGGGAAGCTGGCAACTCTTTCAGATCAGGTTAGCTTTTGAAGGTCAGCTCTTACTCTACAATATTCTCTTTTTTAAATTACTCTTGTCACTGATCCTGAATGGGAAAACAGGAAGAATGAGCCAAGCCAAAGGATATGGGACAAATCCTCTTAAGCACTGTGACCAGAAACAAATAGCCCCAGTGGGGCAGGCCAGGTCGGGCTCTGAGCCATAGCCGGTGCTGCACAACCCTTGCTAAAGAAGGAACACAAAGCAACTCCAGTGAGCTCAAGGGCCAGACGTGTGAAGGAAGCAGTGGTACCTACATTTCTGCACACCATGCTCAGGCAGGGCAGACCCAACATGATGACACTTCATCCCTTCCTATATTGTTTATGTCGTGTGCAGGTCTTGGTTGTGGCAGTTACTGAGAGAGTACTGCTGTGAACATTGATGCAGACCAAGACAAGGATGGTTATCATACCAGGGATAATTACAGTTAAAAATAGAGTTTATCATCGGGTGGTAGTGGAACTCTCCTTTCATCCTAGCACTCAGGGGCAGGTGGATCTCTGAGTTCAAGGCCAGCCTGGTCTACAGAGTGAGTTCCAGTACAGCCAGGGCTACACAAGAAACCCTGTCTTGAAAAACAAAAAAAAAAAATTAATAATAAAAATTCATGTCTGCTAACTTTTCAAAATATTTATGATAAATTGTATCATAAATACTGTTTGGGTTTGCCTACCTAATAAAAATACATCTGTTAGTGATTTCCTTTGACCCAAGGGCCTCTTAAAGTATTGTTACTAAATCTCCAGTATGTGTTGTCTGCTAATGGAAGCCTGGGAATCTTTGATCTAAGTGATGTAGGCATGGCCTGAACTGGGGGTCATATACCCTACCTTCCTTAACACTCATTTCTCAATTGTATCATTTACAAGACCTTGTTACATAAGCTGTTCCTAAGAACTGTTGCCATATAGTAAGCATTTTACTTGTGTTTAATACATGAGTTTGTATTGATATAAGATCAGTAGCAGAAGGTAAGATGGAAAAGCACTTGCCATACCAACCAGAGTTCTGTTTCCAAACCATATAAATGTTTGGGAAGGCCAGGCGGTGGTGGCGCACACCTTTGATCCCAGCACTTGGGAGGCAGAGGCAGGTGGATTGAGACCAGCCTGGTCTAGAAAAAACAAAAAGCAAACAAACAAGCAAAAAAAAAAAAAAAAAAAACAAGGTTTGGAAAAGAATTGACTCTCACAAGTTGTGCTTGCACACACACTATAAGGGGGAAAGATAAGCAACCTCTGAGGAGTGGCAGAGAATGAGCATTTCTCCAAAGCAAGACCCAAGACTCAGCAACCGACCCTACCATTCTCAGAGTGGTGCCACTCAGTACCGCTCTCTGGGGCAAGTCTCCCCACAGATAAGAGATAAGAAAGGAGAAGACTTTGAACCCGAGTTCTTCAGTCCCCAGCAAGGGCTGAGGGTCAGAGGCCACTAGGATTCCATGCTTCCTTAGTAAAGGACACAGTGGCATGCAGAAATGATTCGTGCCCAGATAACCTTGACCTCTATCAGCAGTGTCTAACCTTGTAACCCTGATATGACAGGTCTATAAATATGTTGGCCTGTATTCACAGCTGTCCTGGGATGCGTGCAGCCCATAGGATGCACCTAGTACACGCCTGTGCCTGTATCTAATGCCAGTCTATAGCCAATAGCGGAGACGGGGCATAGTGGTCATTCATTCACACAGCCACGAAGACAGCTGAACCAGATTGGGAAACAATACCCACTCAGGACAGTATCACCAATAAATTTCATCACAGAAAAATGAGAGAGCCTAGTAAAGAAATAAGCTGATAAC